GTTTATCTTGGTCTCATCGGACCACAGGACATGGTTCCGGAAATCCATGTCTTTAGTCTGCTTGTCTGCAGCAAACCATATGTGGGCTTTCTTGTGCATCATCTTTAGAATAGGCTTCCTTCTGGAGTCCAATTTGATGCAGTGTGCGGCGTATGGTCTGAGCACTGACAGGCTGACCCCCCACCCCTTCAACCTCTGCAGCAATGCTGGCAGCACTCATACGTCTTTCCCAAAGCTAACCTCTGGATATGACACTGAGCACGGGCACTCAACTTCTTTGGTCGACCATGGTGAGGCTGTTCTGAGAGGAACCTGTCCTGTTAAACCACTGTATGGTCTTGGCAACCATGCTGCAGCTCAGTTTCAGGGTTTTGGCAATCTTCTTACAGCGGACATCTTTATATAGAGCAACAATTCATTTTCTCAGATCCTCAGATAGTTCATTACCATGAGTTGCCATGTGTAACTTCCAGTGACCAGTCTGAGAGAGTGAGAGTGGTAATACCTGCTCCCCCTTCACACCTGAGACTTGTGATACTAACGGGTTTCATGACACCAGAGAGGGGAAATGGCTAATTGGGCCCAATTTGGACATTGTCACTTAGAGGTGTCCTCACTTTCGTTGCCAGCAGTTTAGACATTAATGGTTGTGTGTTGCGTTATTCTGAGGGGATAGCGCATTTATGCTGTTATATAAGCTGTATACTCACTGCTTTACATTGTAGCCAAGTGTCATTTCTTCAGTGCTGTCACATGAAAAGATATACTAAAATATTTATAAAATATGAGGGGGTGTACTCATTTCTGTATATTTTTAAATTTCTCCTCTGTATAATCTGACCCAGTTAGTCAGTTTCTCCATCAGCATCGCTGCCCATACTTCATTCATGTACCTTTGCAAAGAGAGGTCCTGAACATCTTTCCAGCACTGGGCCATTTCATTCCATGCTCCCCCTATAAGAGTTGCTGTGTTTAGTTGTTTAGTCGTGTCCGACTCTTCGTGACCCCATGGACCAGAGCACGCCAGGCCTTCCTATCTTCTACTGCCTCCCGGAGTTGTGTCAAATTCATGTTGGTTGCTTCGCAGACACTGTCCAGCCATCTCATCCTCGGTCGTCCCCTTCTCCTCTTGCCGTCACACCTTCCTAACATCAAGGTTTTTTCCAAGGAGTCTTCTCTTCTCATGAGATGGCCAAAGTACTGGAGCCTCAGCTTCAGGATCTGTCCTTCCAGTGAGCACTCAGGGTTGATTTCCTTTAGAACTGATAGGTTTGTTCTCCTTGCAATCCAGGGGATTCTCAAGAGCCTCCTCCAGCACCACAATTCAAAGGCATCAATTCTATCAGAGTTGCTACCAGTTCTTTATTTGATAAATTTTCATTTCTTCCAGTAAAAAGTGAGAATAATAATGTTTCATTAGGAACTATTTTTGGATTTGTTACTTTTTTCTAGCCAATTGATTATCTCATACTAGAATACTGTACTTCAATATTACGCATTACTTGTGAATCAGTCTGAAGCATCCCAAGTATGATACTCTTTTGTCATCACTTTATACACCTTTATGCGTTATACTTCACAATCTGTCCTTCATGTCTGAAATTGCAGGACTTAAATTAGCTATAACCAAGAGCAAATAAATAACTCTTCATTCCTGACTCATGAAATGTCTTCCTGCTGTTCACAGTCACACTGTACTGTAGTTTCTCCCCCACACCCTTGCCTTCTGCCATACATGTGGGTGTACAGATGGGCAGTTTACTAGTATAAAATGTTGCATGCAGCTGTGCCATTCAAAATTATTTCCTGCTTTGGTTTTATTTTGTATCCAAAACTGGCAGTCCTTGCTTCCTTCAGAGGCTGGCCAGAGTATTTATGGAATCCATTACATGTAAGATCTCAGTGTTTGGCAGAGGCCAATATAACTTGATGCACAACACATCCTAGTGAGGAAGAGATGGAAACAGGATGATAGTAAACTTGTGCTTGATTGTGAAAATAGCAGTCTTGTGTTGAAAAAGATTTGTTCTAGAAGGTTATACCTACCTAGCACTGTACTACCCTATAATAAAAAGAGAGTGGGCTGATAAACCTCATGACCTCCTGTACAATGGGGCTGCCCACGTATTACTACTCTATTTGCAGGCAAAGCTGATCGCATGTGAATGTTGGTCCTCTTGTGATGGTTATGTTCCTGTCTGGAACTGTAGCTTTTAGATAATGTTCTTTTATTAGCAGGAATGCAATGACAGAGAAAGCTGCTGCACCTTTCTGTAGTGGCTGTTATCAACACCAGTAATGGTCTAACAGTAATGGGAAAGCCTGGCTGCCAACAAGACCAATGAATATGAAGTTGGAACAAGAAGGCCAGGCCAGGCAGGGTGATTCACAATGACAGAGAGCAATTGGGAGGAAAAATCATACAAACCAGAATAGTTTTCCAAATTGGAATTGTTAATTTTGACCCAGCGCTTACCACAGAGTCCCAGGGAACGTCTGTGGTCCATACTGCCCATCTTCATCTTTGGCAGATTGCTCAGCTGCACTCCTATCTTGATGTTGGGGCACTCACAACACTTGCCCATGCACTCGTAGTCTCGAAATTAGACTACTGTATTGTGCTCTACGTGGGGCTAAATTTGAGATTGATGCGGAAACTACAAATGGTCCAGAACACGGCTGCCAGATTATTAACTGGGATGAAAAAATATCAGCACATTTTCCCCACTCTGACGGCCTTACACTGGTTGCCCATTTGTTTCCGCACTGACTTCAAAGTTTTAATGCTTACATATAAACCCCTAAATAGTTTAGAACCTCAATATCTGACAGAGCGCCTGCTGCCACCTAGCTCTACTCGTGTCACTCAATCTGAACTGGGTGGCTGAGGTGCTTGACCCCGAGAGATGCCTGGAAGGAGAGAACTAGAAACTGGGCCTTCTCGGCGGTGGCTCCTCACCTCTGGAACATCGTGCCTCTTGAGATTTGCCTGGCACCCTCGCTGGGAGTTTTTAAGATCAAGTTGGAGACTTGGTTCTTCAGGCAAGACTTCCCCCCTTCCATCACTTTGTTGTTTAGTCGTTAAATTATGTCCAACTCTTCATGACCCCATGGACCAGAGCATGCCAGGCTATCCTGTCTTTCACTGCCTCCCAGAGTTTGGTCAAATTCATGTTGGTAGCTTCAATGACAATGTCCAACCAACTCATTCTCTGTCGTCCCCTTCTCCTCTTGCCTTCACACTTTCCCAACATCAGGGTCTTTTCCAGGGAGTCTTCTTTTCTCATGAGATCGACAAAGTATTGGAGCTTCAGCTTCAATCTGTCCTTCCAGTGACCACACAGGGTTGATTTCTTTCAAAATGGATAGGTTTGTTCTCTTTGCAGGCC